TTTATGAATATCGCCTGTGATGGATTAAATATCCTTGATGCGTAAATGTACTTTAGAAGTTACAATATTTAATATTTCAAGAAACAAAATAAACGTTTACAGTGAATTTTTCCTTACAACGAAGCCTTTGGGGTCAGTAAAATAGCTTCGTTATAACGAAAAATCCGTTATAAGCGCACTCAATTGACATTGCAGCTATTGGGGATGGACTTGAAAAAATAATTCGTTGTATCGAGATTCTACTGTATTTGAGACAGTATACAAATGTATTTTTTTCATAGCTTACTGGAAAGTGCGGGTAATAAAATTTGTTTGAGACATTAAACCGAGAATCTTTAGAAGTTACAATATTTAATATTCCAAGAAACAAAATAAGCGTATGCAGTGACTTTTTCCTTACAACGAAGCCTTTGGGGTCCGTAAAATAGCTTCGTTATAACGAAAAATCCGTTATAAGCGCACTCAATTGACATTGCAGCTATTGGGGATGGACTTGAAAGAATAATTCGGTGTATCGAGATTCTACTGTATTTGAGACAGTATACAAATGTATTTTTTTCATAGCTTACTGGAAATTGCGGGTAATAAAATTTATTTGAGACATTAAACCAAGAATCTTGAATTTAATCTCAATTTGTCAACCGACTAACGCTTGGTTGACGATTTCCTGTTTGAATTTCGAAATTATGTTCTGGAACATTTTCAAGTCATCAAATCAAGGAACATGAAACTTGTTTGGCTTTGGTGTGTTAATTTTTTAATGATCGCATTTTGCATAGGAGTAATTTTTAGTCAATCAATTTAGATTTTCGCTTGCCGTCGAAATTGAACTCGCGGTAAAGTACGTGTGGAATTTTTTTTATTTTTTCGCTATGGCTGTTGATTCTGATTACCATAAATTATTCCTTCGAATAGGTGATGAGCTCTGTTCGCATAAGCTGTACATATTTCTTTCTCTTCCCCGTAACTCCTCTAGGGATAATATGCAAATTGAACGACGTGTTGGTTTGTATCAATGCGGAACTTGGCACGTGTTTCTTCAGATCGTTTCCTGGGAACTGGGTTCTAGTGGGTTTCTGGTTGTCATTTATTCTTCGGAAGCAGTCGACGATTCGACTCGCTCAACTTGTTTTTTATGTTGGCGGTGTCTTGAGGGAGTTTTTGTGGTTGTCTGCGAATAAATTAAGTGCTGATTTTGACTGGGGTTATTTTTAAAATGCGTGTTTTTGAATTAATTGATCATTCGGAGTCAAATTATTTGTGCGGCTGACTCAAAAGCGGTTCCTTGAATTTTTGAATTGAAATCGAGGAATATTTTTTGCATGGTTTGGAAGTTTGATGATATTTACAATTTTATGAATATTTAATCCCGCTTTATTCTTCTTTTTGAACGGGGTTTACCAATAACGAGTGAAGAGTTTTTTCTTATTAAAAAATTGAAAATTAAATTTTTTCGCATGTTCATTTTTTTCCATATTTCAGCTCCAAAAAATTGTGAATGGGTTATTCATTTTATTTTTTAACCGCGGAGGAAGTGCCAAAGCGTAGAAAGGTTATAAAATGTGACATATTAATTGTTTTTCCGAAAAATTAATTCATGAACGAGAAAATAAACAAATTCAAACTGTTCTGAATCCACTGAAGGGTTACTCAATTTTATCTCAGGGCAGAATCAAAGTTTTGAAATTTATAAAAATTTTCAAATAAAGGCGGAAGTGTGAAAAATTGTGTGAGAATTCGAAAAGGTAAAAAATTAATTGTATAATTTTGTAATCAAAAATCAAAGCTTTTCAGAATCCACTGAAGGGTCACCGACTTTTGAGTTCGTGATTCTATTCAAATTTTCGAATTCCGCTAAATATGATAATCAATCTGTAATTTGTGAGAAATATTCCGTATTTTCCATGAGTATAAGTTCCTTGTTTTAAATGTCGGCGTTAATCCTCTTAGGTTAACAAAAGCCTTGAGGTGAAGAATCAATAATGAATTTTTAAAAATTGGTAATTGATTTTTAATGTATTATTCAGAGGAGCATAGCTTCAAGCATTCAGGAAACATAAGCCAAGTTAAAAATCCACTTTTTTGTATGTGTGTCCATGTTTTGTATCGGAAGAGTGAAAAGTGACGGTTTTTAGGTCTTGCTGCCAAGGCGTTTCTTATCATTCGAAGGACATTTTTTCTTGCTCTCTTTCAATCCCTATCTTTGTGAGAACCTCGGAAGACTCACAGATATTTCGAAGCCTTCAAGGCTGAACCTTTTACTGCTAATGTATTCGTCCTTGTAGGACAGTCTTCGTGGTTNACAGTCTGGGTTGAATAAACACACTCAGACGCGGTTCTCGGAAGTCAGTCGGGGTTTGTGCCAAATTGCTTGGCAAATCAACACGCTGGTGTGTGTGTGTAAATCTTTTAGTGCTCCTCCTTCTTGGATTTTGGCCAAAGAACCTTTTAATTTTTTTTGCCAAATTCGAGGTTATGTGTAGATTTTCCTTGCGGAAAGAACGTTGACACCGTCAGTAGTGATTCTGCGGGCGAAGGTCGAAGATGCGGAATTTGTTTTGGAAGCACTTCGTGAGTTTTTTCCCCCGTTTTCATTTGCGCAATACGATGTTGTAATATTTTTTTTTATGCTAAGAGGGTTTCATACAAATTCGTATAAATTTCGGTGTATAAACCACATAACTTTTTTGAGACGTGAATTTTTAAATTCTGCTTTTATTCGCTGGGTCTGGAAAAATATGTGTTGTGGAGCTGAGCTTTATGTATTTTTCATTTCAAATGTTCGGAAATCATAATTTTTCGTTTTTAAAACAGTTATGAATTCACATCCGTAATGACTAGGTTCTGATGAGTGATTTTTGTCGGTGAGGTTCAGGTTGTTGATTTCATAGTGAACTCAATTTTAGTGTCCTCAGGGCAAGAAAGCTTGAAAATACAGTACTTATCATGCTTTCATAAATTTGGTGAACAAAATAACTTTTTGACTCTCGTGGGCATCGGTGATATTTTAAGAAATATTCTCGTGTGCATTAAAGAAAAAAGAAATCAACGAGAATGATTTTTTCCATCGCGATTGAGTTTTATTTTTGTGGAATGCTATAAAAAAAACTTTTCTGTGATTTGTATACAGTATTGTATTAAGCTGAAGCCCGAAGTGAATTTAAAATTGATGTCTTTCTTTTAAAAATGATAATCCGGGAATGGGTGATTCAACTGATTGTGTTCGTGAATTCCATAGGATGAAAATGATAAATAACATGTAGATTGTTTCGTTCTTGCTTGTTCCTGGGTCATAAAACTGACGAATAGGGATTGATGTTGAAGCCGGGCATAAATTATTTAAATTTCTCGGGGTAGGGTCAGCGTGGTTTTGTAAATATTTTCGTTTCCGGTATGCCTTCAAGTATCGTATGAGATTGTTTTCTCTTTTTTTAATATTGAAAAGAACCCGTACCTTTTTCCGTGTCTGGATTTTATTTTTTCATCTCCCTTCTTCTGTTGGGATTGGGACTCGGGAGTGGATATTTTAGGTTGGTTCTCCTGCGGTGAGCACGAGGTTCAACTCTGCGTTGAAAGTCGGCTATTTTTGTGCCTTCTTTGACTAAAATTTGCATAGTTATTTTTCTTGAATGTGAGCAATAAACGAGAGTGGTTTACGCGTAGAATATAAAGCCGCATATTCCGGCGTATTTCGGACAAATTTGTTTCAAATGAGAATGTTTAGTATGAAAGAAAGTTCTTTTTTATTTTAAAAAAAACTCTTGGGATCAATTCTTTCTCTTTTTTGCGGAAAACCCCTTGGAATCTCTTCTCTATTTTTCGGGGGTACCTGGTATGGAAATAAAAAAAATCTTTCAACCCAAGACTCGGGGTTGGGAAGCAGGAAAAACCGATAAAGGGTTTTTTCAGGATACCGAGTATCATCTTTATAAATTGGAAGAAATGATGAGGTGAAATTGTAGAGTCTTTTCTTGAGGTATTTCTGTTCCTGCTATTTATTTTCATAAATACAATACTAAATGAATCACAGTACGCTCGAAGTTGTTGCAAGAAGGCCGAACAATGATTCTGTCATTTGTCAAAATCTGAATAATAGCTGCTGACATAAAGGCAGAATTTCTTCCGTCTTTCCTAATTCCTCCGTTTGCACGTTTCATTAAAAAAAATACAGTACAATAATTCATTATTCTTTGTCGTGGGCCTGTAATATACGAAAATATCGTTACAGCGAAGCATTCGGGACCTTTAAAAAGCTTCATTATGTAAAAATTGTTTTTAAATGAAATTAAAGTATCATATTGGCTATTGGACAGAGACCGGGAAAGAAAAACAAATCCGTTGTAAGCTTTAATTCGTATTACCGAGATTCTACTGTATTTGCAAATATTGGCGCTTGCCTCATCCTGTAAATTTCGGGGGGCAGGCGCAGAATGGTCTATTGATGAGTACATTTACCACATTTTTTGCAAATCTGTGAGAGCAGGTTGGTTAAAAGTACCGTGTAAATTATTTTACGACTGGCGTGTCTGGAATAAATCCCAACAAATAAAAAGGTTTAATTTTGTTTTAGAATACAGTAGTTAGAAAGATGTTTGAGAAATAAAACACAGTGATTTAGTTGGGCTACGACTGGGGTGAGAATCACCCTATTTTAAGGTTGGTATACTTCGAGAGAAATTGACTAAGAATTCAAACTTCGCGAAATCTTGGAAATGCAATGCACACGAATGCTTGAATTGGACTGTAACAACTTCGCTGATTTCGGAAACCACGAAGACTGTCCTACAAGGACGAATACATTAGCAGTAAAAGGTTCAGCCTTGAAGGCTTCGAAATATCTGTGAGTCTTCCGAGGTTCTCACAAAGATAGGGATTGAAAGAGGAATGCTACTGAGACTTTGAGTTCTCTAAATCCGGCGTATCGAATTAGTATGGCCGTAAAAATATTCGCGACATGGCGAATGATTTTCATTTATGCATAATTTTATTAATTTTTTTAGGATCAGCGGCACTTGAAGCAAGGGGATCATGTGGAGAGAGCAGAAAGGCTCACTGCTGGGTCTGCGGCTCGGCTGCATTCTGCCACGGATGGCTTCTCTCATTCGCAATCGGCATTGTCAATGCAAGAGAGCAGCCATGTGCAAAAACCCGGCGAGAAACCCGAAAGTCATCACCAGGCCCATCACGCGTCCAAGGTCTCCTACACGTCCAAGGGTCTCACCACATCCTCTTCCAAAATGGTCAGTCATTATCCCACTAACCCCTTTTTAGGGGTCACTTATGAATTTCTATCCGCTGTGTGTGTGCCAAGCGCTTTAGCTCAAATTTCGTGCAAGAAATCAGGTGATCAAGATTTTTTTTTTTTTTGAAAATGTATCTTGATTTACAGTTGATTTTTTTTTTCAATCTAGTGAATTTTTGGGACTAAATCTGATGGCAAGATTTTTGGAAAATGTTTCTCTATTTAAATTTACTGTCAATTGGAATTTTGATTTTTATATTTGAAGGATTGTGTAAGACATATACAGTACAGTGAGACCCCAAGATGCGGACATAATTGGTGCATCGAGTGTCCCTAAGTCGAGTCTCATTTTCCCGTAGACTTACATTATATAATTTTTAATTGGTGTTTTATGGAAGAAATATTCTTCAAAATTTCCTTAAAAAATTGTTTGCCATTTGAATTTGTGAATACATTTTAAACTCAATAATAACATTTGGAGCATTTAATAGTGTATCTCTGTACTGTACATTGAAATTACTACAAAAATAACATTCAAGTGAAAAAAGTAGAATTCCCTCTATGCTGGAGGTAATTTTTTTCAATTAGCTAAATGGATAGTAAATTGGTGAGAGAAATGCCCAAGAACATTTCTTACATCAATTTTAGGGTTGGAAATATCTGTCTCTTGCAATTTGGCCTGAAACTTATTTGCAGTTTTATCATAAAATGTCCCTATGTCGAGTCAGTGTCCTCATCTTGGGCCTTTTTTATTACTTTTTTCTGGGAAAATGTGTGTCCCTATGTCGAATTGTCCGCATGTGGGGGTCTCACTGAAATTTCAATTTTTTTGAATATATCATGATTCAAATTTGTTGTCAGTAATAATTTAGCTTTTTCTCAAGGTTGTGTAATGAATCAGATTTTTCAAGATTAAAAAAAAAATGCATCTTCATCCAAGTTTCCTATCCTTTTGAATTTCGAAAAAAAAAAAAACAGATTAGCAAGACATCCACGGGGCCCCTGGTGGTGTCGTCGCAATCCTCGTCATCAGTCGACAGCAAGATCTTCGAAGAATTGGACGCCATCACGGACTCGGAGGCGGTCACGCCGTCGGACGTGGAATCCGTCGCCCGTCGTGCCAAGGGCGCCATGTCCGCCTGCGTCGCGCGTCTCAAATCCGCCGCCGATTCCGGACAATTGCTCGACAGCATGCATCAATTAATTCGCAAGGCCTGGTCCATCAAGACGCACGGACACGCTGTCGGAACGTCGTTGTGCGACAGTCTGCGAGAAACTGGGGGATTGGACATACTCATTGATAATTGTTCGTCGGCTGATGAGACGCTGCGGTTTCAGTCCACCAAGCTTCTGGAGCAGTGTTTGACGGCTGAGAACAGGAGTTACTTGGCTGCGAATGGACTGGAGAAAGTCGTCAAAGCCGTGGCGAGGTGGGATTTGAATTTTTTTTTTTTATGCGCCAAACATGAAATGGGAATCCTTTTAATATTGAGACGCGGTTAATTCATTATCTTGAGTTTATTTTTTCTAAAGTTGAGAGGATATTTCTGATGATTCTAATCATTTTTAACTTACTACGTTATTCTTACGAAACACTTTCCAATGAAATCAGGGTTCGAACACCTGTGATCTATTCAAAAATGGTCTTCTTGGATTTTTTCACTTGGATTCTGGGCTTTTTTTTTTGTTCAAAATATTATATTGAGTTCCTCAAAAGCAATCAAACCTTTTTATCGCGAATCTAAGACGAAATATTGTACTGAATAATTTAGGATATGCCATCAATTTTTGTGGAACAAATTATTCTTTGTTTAAAGGATTCTCGGAAAAATTCTGTAAATATTTGAAAATATCTTGGGAGATTTAGGCATTTTAGGGGAAAAAGACTGGCCTAAAGTACAATATTCAAGAACTCTTTTAGGTATTTTTCAATAGACTGCTTGGAGTTGCTGGTATTGTAATTTAAAGATGCGTGTGACAAGAACAAAACATATAACGGAATACGTGTTACATTCTGTTCGTTCAACGCAAGGCATCGTCTCAAGAATTGTCGAGTCATTTTGTGATAGTGCCGAGGATGATGATGTGTTGTTTTTTTTTGTCGATTATGAGTTGATTTAATAATTGGGAGGGGCAATCCAATGAATTTATTTTTCCTTTTTATTTTATTTCTTAGGATACCACGAATGCACCAGCACCATCATCACAACGTATTGCACCATCACGCCCTGATGGCCGGAGATCTGAGCCACGAGATGGAGCTGGATTACAGTAGAGTCAGAACCGGGATCCTGGAAAGTCTCTTCAAACATTCTGAGGGAACCTGTGGCGCCATCATACGGATGGGTGGACTAAAGGCCGTGCTGGAAGAGTGCAGGAAATCCGATGTTGAAACATTGCGACATTGCGCTTCTGCACTCGCCAATTTATCGCTTTACGGCGGGTCTGAGAACCAACAGGTGATGATGGCCTAATTGATGATGATTATTTAGTTTTTTTATTTTAGAAAGAACGAAAAAAATCTCAAGAATTTTTTCAGTAGAGTGAAAATAATATTAGGAATTTTATTCTGAGAGAGAAAGCTTGATTCGAGTCGCATTATCTTAAAAATTGTGAATGCTGAGAAGAAGTAAAATGAAAATTATACTTTTTATATTTTATTTCTGGAAGGAACGAAAAAATCTCTAGAATTTTTTCGGAGATTGTTTGGAATTGAATTTTGAGAGAAAAAACTGAATTCGAAACGCATTGATACAAAAACTGTGAATGATGGAAGATGGAACAAAAAATTGTAGCTCCATCACGCGTAGTAATTCGATGCGATTTTTCTCTCTTTATATGCGTCAAAGGTTGCAAAATAATGGCAGTTTTTATTTGTATTAATTGATGAAGAAGACAATTTTTTCAGGATCTAATCGTTCAATTGTCGCATAAAATTCTCTCTTACTGTATCAATAAACTGAGTTTTGGAAATTAAATTCTCAATTTTGTTCGGGTTTAACGCAGAAACGGATTTCCCTCATTGAAGTCCATGGCAAATTCAAATTTGGTTTGCTAAATTTTGTCTAGGTCTAGACCCAATTAAGTTCGTTAACCGAGGGTCCATTGCTGTGTTTCTCTTGATAATTTTGAAAATTTTCAATTTACAGAATTAAATTATATGCTGTATCCTTCTTGACACGATTTCGTTGCTCGACCCTCAGGTGATGATCAAACACGACGTGCCGACCTGGTTGTTCCCGCTGGCCTTCAACAACGACGACAACATCAAGTACTACGCCTGCTTGGCCATTGCGACAATGGTGGCCAACAAGGAGATCGAAGCGAATGTGCTCAAGTCTGGTACCCTGGACCTGGTGGAACCCTTTGTGACCAGTCACAGTCCCGAAGAATTCGCCTACTCCACCGTGTCGCACGTGCATGGGCAAAGCAAGACGTGGCTCAAGCGACTCGTGCCGGTGTTGTTGTCCAAGCGAAAAGAAGCCTGTGCCTTGGCTGCGTTTCACTTCGCCATGGAAGCCGGCATCAAGAAGAACCAGGGCCAAACTCATATTTTCAGGGAGATTCAGGTGGAGATTTATTTTTCTTTTTTTTTCGAGGGTTTCGGGAAGAACGCGACAGATGGAGCCTCCTTTGTACTGATTTTCTTTTCTTTTCTTCCGAAACTGATTACAGGCAATCGAGCCCCTGAAGCAAGTGGCGTCGTCCCCGAACGCGATTGCGTCTAAATACGCGGCCCAGGCCTTGGCCCTGATTGGCGAGGAAGTACCGCATAAACTGACGCAACAAGTACCGCTCTGGACATCGGAAGACGTGCGACAGTGGGTGGAGCAAAGCGGGTTCCCAGTGTTTGCTATTAGATTCGTGGAGAGTAAAGTCGACGGGGACCTTTTACTTCAAATGACGGAAGATATGCTGAAGGAGGACATTGGAATCGGAAACGGCATTCTCCGGAAAAGGTGGAGCTTCTTTTTTTTGTGGCTTGTCTCATTCTCCTCATTTCAATGTACGATGACATTTCGTTACCACAAACTTTCAGGGACCTGGGAAAATATTGCTTATACTGAGACTCATAGTTATCAGCGCATTTTGTCCTGAAATTTTGTGAGAAACAGATAATAAGTGCTATAAAGAGCTTCTGCGTAAGACGTGCTTCGAGGCTGGGCGTAATTTCATAAGTCTCTTTGATAAAATTAAAAACGAGCATTTGTTTATGCGAAAGAAGTTTAATCCTTGCCAAATTTCGAAATGAAGCTAAAGCAGTTTTGAGAAGAACATGCTTTATATTTTCTGAATTACTAAATATGTTTTGAAAAAAGATTGATGAACTCGTTATGCTGTTGCACAAGTTCGTATTTTGCATCCCAAGTTTCAAGTTATCACAAAGTTTAGTCCATTCAAGGAAAAATTCGCTTTTCAAAAAGCATAACGAAACCTGGAAGAAGAAGGAAAGTGTTGAGTCCTTTGCAAAGTTAAATTAGCAAAGTCAAGATTCGAGGGCCTTTAAAACAATGTCAAAACAGCAGTTCATCAGATTTTGCTAGAAGTTTCCGTTTGACAATAAAAGCTCCAAGTTTTTAGTCTGATACTTCCAACGAACAAAAAAAAGCCGTCACTTTCCGGCAAGTTGCCAGCAGCCCGTTTCCAGAAAACCCTGAAATTGATAATCAATTACAGTATTTTAATATGTTTAATCTTTTTTTTTCCTCCATAGGTTCATGCGAGAATTGGTGAACTTGAAGAAAATGGCGGATTACAGCAGTTGCGACGCGTCGAGTCTGAACGATTTTCTACATTCCCTGGGTCCTGAAATGTCGCAGTACACTTACAAAATGCTGCAGTCTGGAGTAGACAGAGGAATGTTGAAAAGCATCACTGAGGAACAGCTTTTGTACGAATGCAGTGTTGCCAATTCCATACACCGGCTGCGGATTCTTGATGCCATCAGAAGTCAGTAAATACCTGCATAATTCTACATCTTCTTCTTGTATTTTGTAGAAAAAAAAAATGGATTAGACGTACGAAAAAGTACCAAAAAAGATTTCTTGATTTCACAGAGCGTGATTTACTGTATTTTGAAGATTAATTTTTTCATGTTTTTTGTTGCCATAATGTATAATTTAGAAAATAAGCATGTCATTCTAAAGTCGTTCAAGTGTGTCCCCAGTTTGATTGTCCACCTGTGTCCGTTTTTCTGTGTCTATACAGTATAGGATTGTAACTTTGTTTTACAATTTTGGCGCAGTATTCGAGTAGTCTTTCAGAGGCATTCGCGAAGAAAAGTAAGCTGAATAATTTTAAAGTTCATGAATATTAGGCACTAATATTAGAAATGATGATGATACAGTGTATGAAGGTAATCTGTGTTTTGACTTTTTATTAAATTATCCCATGTTCAATTTACAGACGAGTGTAACTTGATATCGACGTCCGAGGAGAGTTTGGACAAGAACCTCGACGTCTTCATCAGCTACCGAAGATCAAACGGATCCCAACTTGCAAGGTTTGTTTTCATTTTTTTTGCAAAAGTATTCGTTTGAAAGAAATCTTTACGAATTTTTTTCTCTTTCAGTTTGCTAAAGGTCCACATGCAAGTGAGAAGATTCTCCGCGTTTCTAGACGTGGAGCGTCTGGAAGCTGGCAAGTTTGATAACAATTTGTTGCAGAGCATTAAGCAGGCGAAGCACTTTTTCCTGGTGCTCACCC